AATTGCATGCCCTTTAAGATATAAGTAGGATACATCCAGCCACCAACTTTGGCTTAATGCTTGGCGCTTCTTGGCTTAATAATACTTTTATATTATAAGGCTATCCGTTACGATATAGCTAGAAGCTCACAACGGATTATTAGAGTCATAAGACTATTTTTCCGAGGATTTCTTTGCTTCATCCGACAGTCGCAACTTTGATTCCTTCGGTGGGATAATTTAGCAAATTCCTTTCACCCTACAATTAAATTTAAGGAAAGGTCCTATGAAAAAAACAGCCTCAGCCGGTTTTAAGAATATCTTTCGTAATTTTAGTATATGTTGAGTTTCCCCTCAATTATTTGTTCAATTCTAAGAAGAGACATCAATACTATATTTTGAAATGTCGTGACCTTGCTATAGTCAACATTAATTATTCATAGGTGAATTTTTAAAGATTAAATAGGTAAAAAGCCTTATGTTTAAACAATTATTTATGCATAATGCAAGGGCCTATAAGCATACATTACTATGCTTTAACATAATATTTTATGATCAATATATGAACATTGCAGGTAATAATATGTGGCTCAATTATTTATGCCATAGATAGACTTCAGAATTTCAAATATTGTTATAAAGGTATTTTTTTATCAAATAAATATTGTATCATTTTAGATTTTTTAAAATTTTAAATAAATAACCCTATAGAATGGTATATGTATCTACATCTACATCTACCTCTACATATATGTATGCATATTTAGTTACTACTTATTTCTCATTAAATGGAATTTCAGTTAGACGAAAGAAAGCCATAAAGCAAGAGAAACCAGAAGCTTCATTACAAATGAGGATGCCGCTTTATTTTGAAAACATATTGCAAAACTTTGCCAGTGGAGAAATTTGTATTGAGAAAGAAAAATGGAAAGCTAATATTAATAAGGTCTATGATGGTAAATATTGTATAAATGGAAGTAGGGAGAATAATTGCAGTTCTATTGTCTTGCCTGAAATAAAACAGGTGAGAATATACTTTTCCCTCTCGACCGATTTATAAGATGCAAATATTTTTCGCTGTGAACATCAGTAGCTGTTTCACATTTTTTTCTGGAATTTATGTTTAAAACATTATTATTTTTACATTACTATGGCAATGACGTTGCATTAGCCTACCTGAGAAAGATACTGTTGCCGATATTAATCTTAATAGATGAATATGACCTTCAGAATTCAATATAGACTAGAATTTATTTTGTAGAGTATACAAATAGTCTCTTTGAAATATAGCCACAGATGCATAGTAATGCATATATAATTTATATATTGATGACTGATTGCAGCAAACATTGTTTTATT